TTGTTCATGTATTCATTTCTGCTGAGACTCATTATTGTGGTGTTGAAACTCTCTTAAGGATTGGTTATAGCTGAGTATTGGTAGAAGACCGGGCTCCGTATTTTTTAATGCCAGTTACTGTTATATTTCATTCTGTATTTCCTTTCAGTTTTAGTATCAACTATTGCAGGTTATATATGTTGTTATGCCCCATCGTAGCGTCGTTATTACATCATCGTGGTTAGGCTCGGCACTTACCAGTATATGGGGTTGGTTGTACTGCTACTGCACTTTGCACCTTCTATGCAGATTTCGGAGCTAGTGGCTGATCGAGAGGTTGATTGTTGTTACTGCATTCAGGAGATCCAAGGTAGACCTGCAAGCGTCTGCAGGCCCTGGCGTCCCCTTCTACTTTCTATATCTCCGTTTTATTTACTTTAGAGACAGGTGTATTCTCTTCTTTCAGACCAGTATTTGCAGAAATCTGTAGAATGTTCGTGAGTTGTGACACCAGTTTATGGGTGGTATTTACTCCTGTTTTCGTTAATAGTATAAGAGTAATTAGTTGAATCATGCACTTTCGCTTTTATTTTCGCTGATTTAGTTTTATTAGACTTTAATTATAAATGAGCAAAGGAAAAAGGTGTAAAATTCTGTAACATTGGCTTGCCTAGCGAGTGCAATGTTAGGCGCCATCACGGTCCCGACAGTGGGAAATTCGGGTCGTGACAAGTTGGTATCGGAGCACTAGGTTGCCTAGGTCTCACAATTCTAGTCTGAGGGATCGGTACGGAGACGTCTGTGCTTATCCCCCAGAGGCTACAGAGTTAGGAACAACTTAACTTTTATTCTTCTCTGTCGTGCAATTTTGATCTCTCAATGATAATTGAACTCTCTACTTTGTTCTTTCGCAGATGGCGAGAACATGTACTGCTTCATCAGCTGATCAGCAACTCGAGCCCCCAGTGGCAGCTCCTATGAGGGGCAGAGGATGAGGACGAGGCCGTTCTAGAGGCTGAGCCAGGGGCAGGACTCATCCCAGAGCTCGAGCAGCAGCACCAGCGGCGGAGCCTCAGGTAGAGTTTGGTGATGAGGTTCCAGCCCAGACCGTTCCAGCAGGGCTAACTCAGGTTTCAGAGAGGTTCATAGCTACCCCGGTGCTTCAGGATGTTTTGGTTCGACTAGTAGGCCTTATGGAGAGTGTTACTCAGGTCGGCATACTTCCTGTAGCACCAACTGTCTCTCGGTAAGCGGGCCTTATGGAGAGTGTTACTCAGAGGTTGCGGTAAGCACAGTGTTGGTCCGCAAAAACGAAGGTACACAATCTCCAATATATTACATTAGCAAAACATTGGTCGATGCCGAAATGAGATACCCCCACCTCGAAAAATTGCCCTTGGCACTAGTTATAGCTTCACGAAAGCATATACCCTATTTTCAGTGCCATCCCATATCAGGTGTAACGACCTTCCCCCTGTGGAGCATCCTACATAAACCCAAATTGTCGGGAAGAATGGCCAAGTGGGCCATAGAATTAAGCGAGCACGATATAAGATATCAGCCGTGAACAATGATAAAATCGCAGGTACTCGCTGACTTTGTCGCTGACTTCAGTGCCAAAATAATGCCCGAGGTCGAGCAAGAAACTTCTTGTACCCCTCCCGGGCTAGCCGATCTATGGGTCCTATACATTGACGGCACATCCAACGTGTCAGGATCTGGACTGGGACTCGTACTCGAGGTCCCAACAGGCGAAGTTATTCGCCAATCCATACGGTGCCTCGATATGACTAACAATGAGGTCTGAGGCCGTAATTGCAGGACTAAAGCTAGCTCTCAAATACGGAGCACGACGAGTCATCCTCAGATGCGACTCACAACTCGTTGTCAACCAAGTCACAGGGACTTTCCAAGTCAAAGAGCATAGGCCAAAAATGTACCAGGCAGAAATTCATAAACTGCTGCCGGTATTCAACGAATGTCACCTCGACCAGATACCTTGAGCGCAAAACATCGAGGCAAATGGCCTCGCCAAGTTAGCAGCGGCCACCAAAAACATTATAAAGGAAAACGTGATCAACCTCCTCCACTCGTCAATAGACTAACTCGAGGTACACTCTGTGAATTTAACTTGGGATTGGCACAACCGCATTATAACATACTTGCAGGAGGGAATACTCCCATCAGACAAAAAGGAAGCCAAAAAGCTTCGAATGCAAGCAGCTAGATACAACATCATCAACCATGACCTGTACAAAAGAACATTTGGATGCCCCTTGGAAAAATGTCTAGGGCCGAACCAAACGAGGCATATCCTCGAGGAAGTACACGAGGGCCACTACGGTGCCCATACCGGCAACCGAGCCCTAATTAGATGCCTCATTCAGGCAGGTTACTATTGGCCTACAATGAAGAAGGAAGCCGACGACTACGTCAAGAAGTGTGAGCAGTGTCAGAAATATGCCCCCATGATACACCAAGCAGGCGAGCTCCTCCACTCAGTTACATCGCCATGGCCATTTATCAAATAGGGAATGGACATTATCGGACCCCTCCCGACATGGCGAGGTAACATACGATTTCTTTTGGTTTTAACTGACTATTTTTCCAAGTGGGTGGAAGCAGGTGTGTTCGCCCAAATATGCGAGCATGTAGTTATCACATTCATATGGAGAAACATTATATGCCGCTTCGGCATCCCCAAAGAAATCAGCTGCGACAACAGACCACAATTCACCGGAAAAAGGACTGCTGAATTCTTCGAAAAATGGCACATCAAGCGAATACTCTCCACCCCATATCACCCTATCAAAAACGGCCATGCCGAATTATCCAACAAAACAATACTGAATATCTTGAAGAAAAATCTTGAGGATGCCAAGGGATTATGGCCACAGTTACTACCAGAAGTACTGTGGGCATACCGCACCATGCCAAAAACAAGCACTGGAGAAATGTCATATTCATTAGTCTACGAGACTGACGCCATAATACCGGTCGAGGTCAGGGAACCTAGTTTGACATACTCCAATGAAAGCGGGCCAAGCAATGATGAGAACAGGAAACAAGACCTTGACGAAATAGAGGAGCGACGAGACATGTCTTACATAAGAATGGTAGCCCAAAAACAACAAGCAGAACGGTACTACAACAAAAAAGCCAAAGTACGACCATTCAAAGTCGGAGACTATGTACTAAAAGCCAAAACACAGGCAAGCAAAGATTCAAGAGAAGGCAAACTAGGAACCAATTGGGACAGGCCATACAAAATCACGGCAGCAGCAAACAAAGAATCATTCCAGCTAGAAACAATGGAGGGAAAACTACTACAAAATAATTAGAACGTCGCCCCCCTCAAATACTTCAACTTCTGAAAACGGATGCCCCCAAAGTCGTACTCTTTTTCCATCACCCGGGTTTTGTTCCAATTGGGTTTTCTCGTTAGGTTTTTAACGAGGCGACGAAGGGGACATCTCGAAGTTCAAGTATGATTTATCGCTCCGCCTGCCGATTTCTTCTCCAGGTCGAACGATAAAGGGACTAGGTACACTAGAACTTCTCCAATATGTGTATGGAATAAACAGAAACATGTAATATTCTCCAAAGAATGAAATAAAGCAGCATCTTTGCACATCTCCACCAAGTCGCTCTACACTTTACATTCGACCTCGCTCGAATTACTTTATATTCAACCTCACTCGAATTACTTTACATTCGACCTCGCTCGAATCACTTTACATTCAACCTCGCTCGAATTACTTTACATTCGACCTCGCTCGAATTGCTTTACATTCGACCTCGCTCGAATTACTTTACATTCGACCTCGCTCGAATTACTTTACATTCGACCTCGCTTGAATTACTTTACGATCTACGATCGACTACACCAAAACACTACACACAACTGGCCGAAAAAGTCAGGGACTTCACCGCACAGCAAACAAAAATTTAACGAGAATCCGGAAATACATAGCAAAAAGGCAATCATTCCATTTAAACTGTACAAATTACATTTTACAGAGGGGTTCGAGAATGCCCTCGCTAAACTAACAAAACAAAACAAAAACTAAGTGCAACAGTCTCACGCCACATCATCCCCTTTAGCGTACTCATCATCGTACCAAGGGTCAGAGGCAAGCCTATTCGTGGTACCATCGTCCTTATCTCCACCAAGCGTACCAGGGTCGTAACCACAAGCTTCACCACTACAACAAAAAGGGGATTTAGCAGCAATAAGAAAGGCCATTAGCGGCAATAACAATTACCGCTATATCCTTTACCGGCCATTATTAATTAGTCGCTGATGCCGGGGTCGGTAAGGCCTTTAACGGCGATTGTTATAAACGCTGGTAAATGGTATAAATTATTGCCGTTAAAAACTATAAGCTTTAACGGCAATTGTTTGCGGCAATTATGATGGCTGTTAAACCCAATCCAAAACGGCTAATTATACTCCTTTAGCGTCAATTTATATAGCCGCTAATTTAAAATAATTGCCGCTAAAAGTTCGTATGTCTAACGGTATTTGTGTTGTGGCAATTAGAATGGCTATAGTATCCCTTCTGAAAACATCTTAGTTTTCCCTTTCAACGTCCATTTTTGTGGCTAATATATTAAATTAAATTGCCACTAAAAGTCAATATTTTTAACAATAATTATTTTTCGACAATTATAATGGCTACAATATCCCTTATGGAACTATCTTAATTTTTCCTTTTATCGTCCAATTTTATAGTCAGTATATCCAATTAAATTAGCACTAAAATTTACAAGCTATAATAGCAATAATTTAGCCACCATTAATAATAGTTTCGACATTCGTCCAAAATATAATCCAAACAACAAAATATATTAATATTGATTCAAAAAATATAATATATCTCATTAAATCTTAACAAATAAAAGTAAGTACTAATAAAAAATATTAATGTCAAAATAACTTAAAAAATCAACTAATATTGTCTAAACTAAATAGCTAATGTCATTAAAAGTAATCCTCACAAATGATAGTCTTCAAATAGTTTCCACAACTTTTCATCATATTGAAATCTTCCACCCGCAAAAATATCGAACATTAGACTGTATGACTTGAAATTATAAATTAACTATGTCAAAAGATAAAATATAATGTGAAAAAATATCTTGAAGACTCCATCACTGTCAGATTGTTTTTTACCCAACTCACTCACCTAACATTCACAAGCAGAGACAACTAGATGGATTAATAGACGAGCAAAATGGATGTGCAAATAATAAAAGAAAGTTTCTTTCTTTGTTATGACAGAGAAGAAACAAAAAATATCAAAAGCAGAGTATTAGCTTGGAGAATTAAAAAGAACTTTTATATGCTTTCTGTATCTTCTTGGTACATTTTTAATGAAATTTACATTACCTTATCGGAAAAGAATATTTACCAGCATCCGGTCTCAAGAAATGCAAATGTTTTGTGCAATCGTTGGAGGTTCAAACTTACCCAACAAAGACTCAACATACCGAAAGGTTTTTTTAAATCCACCCACACATTTCATAACTCACTATGCATCTAGAAAGAAAAAGTTTTCTCATACAACATAAATTAGATAATCAATTTTTTGAACATTCTATTTAACTTTCTTAACATCTATGGAACTAAAAGAAAAGTCACAATCATCTTTATATTTATTTGAATAACTAAAATCGCCAAGGACTAGTGGCACAAGATTCAAAATAGAGTATGCAATGTTAATATAAAAATCAGAAGTTAGATACCATCTATTTATAATTCCAAAGACAGAACATTACCAAGCAATTTACAAACCTTTGCTTAGATAGAAGCAACGGCCAAGGTGTCATAGAAAGTAACAAACCGAACCTATGTTACTATAATGCAACACAAGACATGGCAAGAGGAAAAAACAAAGATCCTCTTAAATCACTTGAAGAGATGACATCGGCTTGCTTTTTAAAGCCATTCATCCCATCACTAACAACAGAAAAGAAAACTCGTTAGGAATTATCACTTCTTAAATTTATAACTCTACACCAACACAGGTGGTTCTTGTGCAGTCGTTCTCATCTCTAGTGCTAGAGTAATGGGTGCTGCTTGTTGTAAATGGAGAAGTTGTGATTGACTTTAAGGTTTAAGGCTATAGGTTTGTCAACCATCCGAAGAATTCAAGCAGACAAATATGAATTGATTTAAAGATAAAAAATGATGTCAATTTAATAGAATAAATAAATATTTTTTCACTATGTGTGTACATAAGAAGGATATAATAATATTACACATATAATCACAATCTGGAAAAAGATTATTTTTAAAATGATTCACTACTATCACAAACTTACGACATCAACAACAGTGAAAAAAAAAAATACATAAAAGCAAGAAGCATCTAAGGTAAGCCGAAATACTAGAACAAATTAATGGTCTTTCCTGACGGAAGTTTCCAAATATCTTTTAGTAAGGTAGGCCAACGAACCTTTCTTGTTTCCGAATTACCTAGAATGAAAAATATTTGAATCGTCTGATACGTTATTTCTTAAGAATCCTAACTCAAGATACGTTAGCATTATGCTACTTAAAGACACTAGTAAATCATGAATATTACTATAAATGTCAGAATAACCAAAAAAACAACAGCTATGTTCAATTTCCAAAGATTAAGAAATAAGAACCATGCACCTGCCAAAATTATTTTTCATACAAACTTGATTAGCCTCACACTTCATTAAAGAAGAATATAACAAATTCATTACTTAAAGTGTGAATATAAAAGTCACAACTTCATTGTTAATGCATCTACAGAAAAAAAGAAAAAAAAGTCAAGGTATCATTCCTTTTGGAGAACATGATAACTATCATATATCCTTGTCATTTATTGCATCTCACGGGAATGAGAAGTTTCTACTTGTGTCTTGGATATGTATTCATCTCTTCAAGAGGAATTAAGTATACAATCCAGTGAATTACCATTACCAGGTACCAATGGGAACGTTGATGCATCTGAACTTTTAAAAAGAAATGTGTTGTTCACCTTTTTCTCTTTTAGTATGTTAAGATCAACCGTAAGTTTTGTTCAACTTGATTATATTATGTTTCTTAATTCGCTTTGTGGCATCAAACCATTTTATATCCTCGTCTGAGAGGCTACAAAGATCTAAAGTATAATTCACATCTCCTTGTTACATCTTTTAGCTGCAGCATTGGAATTTAATATTCTCTCTGATGAGCAGCATGTAGGGCACTAACAAATATTAACTTTCACTTTCGTCGGGTCTCTCGACTCCGGAGAAGAAGAGTCTGCTAATAAGCCACACCAGAAACAATCAATTTCACAATGATTGTTGTTACATTGATCTCTGGTTGAGTTGCTACTATTATGTAGTTACCATAATCCTAGCAAATTTTTAATTTCAGCCTTAAGTAACAGTATATGCAATGAAAATATTGTGCCTAATAGTTATTCATATTCACTTTACTACCTTTTGAAAGTTATGAGATCTTTCATTAGTATGTGTTTCTAATTTATCATGGTGCTCTATATAGGGAAATACTGCATATAAAGGCAAGCAGTGGAACAAAGCCGTGAGCTACTACACAGAAGCAATAAAATTGAATGATAAGCCCACATACTATTGTATTAGCTAGCTGCTTACTTATAATTGGGATGGTATGGTAAAACATTATGTAGAACTACTTCTTCGGTGCTTGATGGTCTAATTTTTTTACTGAGTAATTTCACATGCAGCTTTCAACAAGCTAAAGAGAAACTGTACTAAAGCAATTTCACTTGATAAAAAGATATTAGGAGAAATTTAATTTCTGGAAATGTGCAATTGATATTAAGCGAGCTCTTTTTTTTTAGTTGTACTTTAATCTATACTACAAAAGCAACAGATTGCAATACTAAAAAAGTATTACCTGATCCTCATTATGTTGAATCTCAGTGCCACCAGCAGAACTATTCGGCTCATTAGATTGATCATCATGTGCTTAGGCTTCAGAGTAATTTTGATCATCCATCAAATGCTCAATATATGGTTGGTCTCTAAAGTAGTTTTGACCATCCATCAATTGCTCAATATAAAGTCGCACATCTTCATCATCATTTTGTTCAATTACCAACTCGATTGCGACCTCTAGTTTGCATAGTTCTTTTTTTCTAAAATAAAGAAATTATCTAGCTGCATTAAGTTATACTAGTACTAGATTAACTCCAATAGATCAGTAGGTCACATGCAAAATAGGAGAAAGCATCACCCTCAGGCTGTGAAAAACAAACAAGTAGCGATTCGTACGTACAAACAAAGCCTTGCGATATAGATAGTTCTAGAGACAAGAGGCATTAATGCACCAAAAAAAAATAATTGCCCAATGATAATAACACCTTAGCATATTCCAATGTAAGGCCACAACCAACAAAATATAAGTAAAAAAATCACAAAGAATTCACTCAAACATCCAATGATCAACCAATACAAATATGGAAAATACATAGATGGCTAACATGTATCTTCTATAAAATGACTTAAATTGAAAGAAAAATATTTATTTATTAAGATTTATTTATTAAAATTTCTGAACTATTGATCCAGAATATAGGAAAATAAAGTTAAATAACTATAAGAATAATTCCATATGAAAAAATATGTTATAAAAGTTAATAATTTGTTTAATTCAAAATCAATGCCATAGATTTGTCAATACTAAATTAGAAAATATATAAAGATTAACTCATTTGGTGAATTGAACTTTGACAAATCGAAGCCATAGACCTAACCAGTAAGCAATTTTCATCAACCCAACACCCACACAATCAAATACTACATATTAGAGAGAGATACTTATTGACAGCTTGCGGTGTTGGTTGCGGATACGATTTGTATACTATGAATTTTTTCAATTAAGTTTATTCCTAACTTTTTTGTAGTCTTTAGGTAATTTCTAGATCCAATTAATTAGCAAATTTCAACCCAACTCCGATACAATAAAATTAAAGATAAAGAAAGACCCATACAATGAAACATCAAAGATATAGAAAGAAACTTACTTTTTTTGTTGAGAATGTGGTCGGCAATTTTGCTCTTAAATGGCTTACGGATGAGATTGTATTATATGAGGGTTACTTTTTTGGTTGATAAAGTGGCCGGCGATTTTGCTCTTAAATGGCTTGCGGAGAGATTGTAAGGGTTTTTCAGTTAAAGTAATTCATGTCCTTTTTTTTAGTCTTTAGGCTAAATTGAGAGATTTTGGCGGGAGATGAATTAGCCAAAAATAAAAATTGGAGGCATTATTAAAAGTAAAAACAATAGCTTTACTCTCGATTCTCTTGAATGTCCATTAAAAGTATACTAATTACCGGTTAATATTTATTGGCCGCTAATATTTGTCTCCCGCGAATAAATTAGCGGCAATTAGTTTATTGTTGCTAAATAATTGCCGCTAAATCCCCTTATTGTTGTAGTGCACGAGTAGCGCGTGCCTTAACGCGGATGCCTTCAAGTTCTGCTTCGAAAATTTTCCCGACGGCTTTCAAAGACTTATACACGTTGAGATGAGCCTCGGCGTTAACCTACATCTCGTACAATTCCCGCGGCACGCCGTGATCGGTAGAAGTATGAGACGTGGATGGCTGCAGCTGTCGTCGAGCCTCCTCGGCCTTCAAGGTAATGACCTGCTCATTCAATCCAGATAACTCTGCCTCCAGATCCTGGATCCGCTTTTTTAACCTTGCCACCATAAGCGCCAATGTCCCCAATTCATTCTCCCGCTCGAACCTACAAACTCGAAGAGCCTCTTCTAAGGCCGTTGTTTCAGCCATAGCAGCCACTCTGCCTTTCTCAGCGCGAGTCAATTCTTTGATCTTGACACTCAACTCGCCCCTCAGATCAACAACCTTCGCCTCCCTCTGCCCAAGTTTAGCAGTTAAAGATGCCACCCGTGCTTGAAGGTCGGCATTCTCGGCCATCACCCTCTTGCTCACTTCGAGCTCATCCTCTTTGGCCTTTAGAGCTACCTCAAGCTTGTTACACCGACCGATGGCTCTCATTAGCTCATCATCCCTCTCCTTTAGCTCCTCATCTTTCTTTGCCAACTCTTCGTCCTTCTGTTTAAGCCCGTCGCGAAACAACTGAAACTCGCTATCCTGGTTAAAGACATCGGCCAGCGTTCGGTGCTTAGTACGGTACTCCCTATACTTAGAGGTCACCTTCTTAAAGATGGCCGTCCTCCGCTCCTCCCGCCGGTCACGATCGATCCCCATGATAAGAGTCTAACATGCAAAGGAAAGGAGTCAATATGAGCAGATTACACATGCGAAACAAATCCTAACATTAAAAAAAGCACTTACTCGCAGGGCCATGCCAGATATACTCTGTGACAACTCCACATCGCTCATCGCCTGTAGCGCCGTGTTCTCGGAAGCCGCACACAAGGGGCAAAGGATGGCACCACCCGTTCTGAGTTGGCCAAAAGGTCATAACCCACGGGAATGATTACGTGCCGGGTAGGACCCTCTGTCATCGCCTCCACGCGAGTATTCCTTTCCAAAAAGGCCCGTACCTCTTCAGGATCGATATCTGAACCAGAATCGTCATCCCCCACATGTACCGCTCTATCTCTCCCTGCCGCCAATGATGCGCCACCCTCTGCAATCCTTACAGGTTCCCCGCCATCATGCGCCCCCTCGGCCATAGAGGGCCTCCTCTCCATAAGGGCATCCGCCATAAAAACGGACCCTATGTCTGGTGCAAGTACAGACGTTGCTTCCGGAGCAATTAGTCTCTCCGGCTCAATATCAGCAACGATGATCTTCCCAAGCTCCATCCTTCTTCTTTTTCTCGATGGCGACTCATCTACATTAGATGACTCGTCTACAAGATGATAGATACGTTGGGAAGAGATCTCATCTCGCATAGCAACAGTTTGAGGGGAGGAATCCCTCATTGACGGAGCTTGATTACGGCCTCCACGAATAGACTCGGCTAAAAGAGAATTGCATCCCAGCAGATGCGATAGCTTGGCGAAACGCTGGCACTAGAGCCTTTCTCTTGAAAATTCGTCAACCTGGCATCAAAAGAAGGTCGCATCAATGAGAAATGGTAAACAACAAAGCTGAAGCAGAAGTAACACTTACCAGACGGGACCTTGGGTCCAAAACGCTTGTGGAAAGCCGCCCAATCACGAATCCTCGCCATGTGAGGCAGCACGCGAGCTACCCAATCTTCAATATCGAAGATGGGAGAGGTTGCATGCCTTTCAGCTGAAAAACAAACTGTAAGTGAGCTAAGAACGAAAGGACGAAAGAATAGAACGAGCGTACGATATACTTACGATTATGATTCCACTGCTCGGGAAACCAGGGCAGGTCCCCCACCAAGTACTCGGTCGTGATGAAGAAGTACTTATGCCAAAACTTCCAATTCATTCTGTCATCCATTCCGACTACCAACCCCCCGGTCCCGTGATGTCGTAGGTGTATCATAGTACCTCTACAAAAACTAGGCGAAAATAAGTTCAGCAAGTGGCGAATATTGACCTCACAACCAGCCAACTCCGCGTACTTCATCGGCATCAAGAAAGCTTTATACAAGTAAGGAGAGAAATGCGTCGGGCAGACGTTGTAAAGCTAGCAAAATTCCTCCACTAGAGGAAGAAGAGGAAGAGTATAACCGATCAAGAATGGGTAGACATAGAAGGCATAATACCCGGGTCGATGGACCTCCACGATGTCGCCACCGGCCGGAATTATCTCGACATGGGGAGGGATGCGATACTTGGACCAAAGGTCGGCTATATGAGACGGTCCAGTATCGGAGAGCACATGAGCGGGAGTAGGAACAGGCTCCTTTGGAAAATCGTTTCTAGCCAAAGAATTTCTAGGAGCTACCTCCTCCGCGGTAGGGAAGATGCGTAATGATGATGCATGTGGCTGTGACATCACCCCATGCCAGTCACACCAATTGCAGCCTTGTTGGCCACGCCTCCTCTTTTTGACCTCGGTTGTTTCGACCTAATCAATACGACCAAATTTCTCCTAAACGAACGCTGATCAAGTCCGCTTCTCGAGGGCGTGCAAGACTCACTACAACACTTTGCATATATAGCTACAAAATACATCATGGCTAAATATGAAACTTTCTGTAGCTAAACACTTTAGTCACAATATTTTTTTTCGTAGCTTCCGTAGCAAAATGTAGCATAGCTATTACAGACTTTATATGATCCGTGGCTAAGGACTAATAATTATTGCTACGAAAGTTTTCTGCATTGTAGCTATAATGATAATACTTTTTTGCTACGAAATATATACTCATAGCAAATAATCCTAGTATTTTGCCACGGCAAATAAATTATGTAGCAATCTTTATATTGTGCCACAAGGTGTTTTACCGTGGCAAAACACTTAGTTTGTTTGCTACGAAAATTCAGATCTTGTGGCTATTTTTATATTTTAGTTTCGTGACAATTGTACTTTTTTCAGCTACAAGATCAAAAAATCATAGCTGCGAATTTAAGTATTTGCCACAAATATTTAGGTAGCAAAGAATCCATTTTCTTGCCATGAAATATATATATATAGAGTCACGAATTCAAACTTTTATTGGCACAAATTAAAAAATTTGCTACAAGAATATCTAGTCACAATAATTTTCATAATAGCTAAAATTTCAAATATTTTAGATCCCAAAACAAATTCAAAATTACACAAGGCTTTTAATAATGTAGCTAAGAATAAAAAGAATTTACACAATAGGTTTCAAGTTACACATAATTGTAAATTTTAAAGTATTCACAATACACATTTCTTCTACAACACCAGGCACCGTCTTCTTCTTACACTCCTCCTCGGGTCTTCAACTGCACTTTATCTTGGTCTTAACTTGTCATTGCTTTAACTCCATCAATTTACCTGTCAATGAAAAAGTATTTTAACATCACGAAGCAAAAATAACTGATTATATATGTTTAACAGATATAACTGAGTTGAAACTTTAATACGAAGATGTAATTTCCATTAGTAAAAAATATTGAGAGAATTTCAAGCAGACAAAAAATATGTCTTGATAAAAAATTTACAAGAATTTATAACAGAGAACAAAAGCAAAAAATACAAAGCAACAAAAGTAAAAAAGAAAATTTTGAACACTTTTTAAACACCTTAAATGATCTTCATCCCAATTTTGTAATATTTATGTTACAACTGATGAACTATGGCTTCTCCCATAATTTCAAAATCTTCAAATCCTCAATCTCACTTATCAAGAATAAGATACAATATCAGTCAAATTGCTGGAATCGTCTATAAAATTGTACCCCGAAATTCAAGTAGGTATAAAAAGATTCACAAACCCTAAAATATAGATATATAAAGGTACCTCTTTTGTCCAAGAATATAGAAGCGATGGAGGTTCTCTCTCGCTCTTCTTTGTCGTTCTCGGTCTTCTTAGTTTAGCCGTGATTAAAGAATGAAATGGAGAAGTGTGGAAGGGGAAATGGCGGCGGGAGAAAGGGGAGGTCCGAGTATAGTTTAGGTTTTAGGGATTTTGCTTTAGGCTAAATGGCCTTTATCTTCTCTTTACTTCTTGTTATATGGAGTAGTAGTATAAATTTTCTTCTTCCTTTTATTTCTTAATTAATACACATAATACCTTAAATGCAAAACAAATGAAGTTGTCACGATCCCAACCCCGGTCATGATGGCGCCCAACACACTGCTAGGCAAGCCCGACCATTCAACAACATTATTCCAAATCCTTATTCAGATTATAGATAAATATCACAGAGAATTTACTAAGTCATTACATTCAAGTGTATAATTCATAATAAAATCTGCGGAAGTTCAATTAAAATACCACATCATAGCCCAATAGAATCCGGTGTCACGAATATGAGCCTCTAATACAGAATATCCACCTATTACAAGTCTGCCTAGGAAAAATACGGAATACAAGATAGAGATAGAAGGGAGAGATCAAGGCTGCGAACGCCATGCAGCTACCTCAATACTCCCGGATACTGCTGCTCAGCTAAACAAATCCTCACTCAGTCTGTGGTATACCTGGATCTGCACACAAGGTGCAGGGAGTAATGTGAGTACTCCGACCCAGTGAGTAATAAACATAAATAAAGGTTGAGAATAAGAAATCATGGAAAAATACAAAGTAAAATATAACTGGCACGTTAGAACAACAAACAGTGGAGCAACAAGTCGATTAAATCAGAGTACCAAATACTGATACACGTATAACAGATAAAAATAAATGCATG